TGAGGGGGCTGTGTGTGTGAAAGGCTATGTGTGTGTGAGAGGAAGGCTGTGTGTGTGAGGGGGCTGTGTGTGTGAGGAAGGCTGTGTGTGTGTGAGGGGGCTGTGTGTGTGTGAAAGGCTATGTGTGTGTGTGAGGAAGGCTGTGTGTGTGAGGGGGCTGTGTGTGTGTGTGTGAAAGGCTATGTGTGTGTGAGAGGGAGGCTGTGTGTGTGAGGAAGGCTGTGTGTGTGTGAGAGGGAGGCTGTGAGGGGGCTGTGTGTGTGTGAAAGGCTGTGTGTGTGAGGGGGCTGTGTGTGTGTGAGGAAGGCTGTGTGTGTGTGAAAGGCTATGTGTGTGTGAGAGGAAGGCTGTGTGTGTGTGAGGAAGGCTGTGTGTGTGTGAGGGGGCTGTGTGTGTGAAAGGCTATGTGTGTGTGAGAGGAAGGTTGTGTGTGTGAGGAAGGCTGTGTGTGAGGGGGTTGTGTGTGTGTGAAAGGCTATGTGTGTGTGAGAGTGAGGCTGTGTGTGTGAGGAAGGCTGTGTGTGAGGGGGCTGTGTGTGTGTGAAAGGCTGCGTGTGAGAGTGAGGCTGTGTGTGAGGAAGGCTGTGTGTGTGAGGGGACTGTGTGTGTGAAAGGCTATGTGTGTGTGAGAGGAAGGCTGTGTGTGTGAGGAAGGCTGTGTGTGTGTGAGAGGAAGGTTGTGTGTGTGTGAGGAAGGCTGTGTGTGAGGGGGCTGTGTGTGTGTGAGAGTGAGGCTGTGTGTGTGTGTGAGGAAGGCTGTGTGTGTGAGGGGACTGTGTGTGTGAAAGGCTATGTGTCTGTGAGAGGAAGGCTGTGTGTGTGTGAGGAAGGCTGTGTGTGTGTGAGAGGAAGGTTGTGTGTGTGTGAGGAAGGCTGTGTGTGAGGGGGCTGTGTGTGTGTGAGAGTGAGACTGTGTGTGAGGAAGGCTGTGTGTGTGAGGGGACTGTGTGTGTGAAAGGCTATGTGTGTGTGAGAGGAAGGCTGTATGTGTGTGAGGAAGGCTGTGTGTGTGTGAGAGGAAGGTTGTGTGTGTGTGAGGAAGGCTGTGTGTGAGGGGGCTGTGTGTGTGTGAGGAAGGCTGTGTGTGTGAGGGGACTGTGTGTGAAAGGCTATGTGTGTGTGAGAGGGAGGCTGTGTGTGTGAGAGGAAGGCTGTGTGTGTGTGAGGAAGGCTGTGTGTGAGGGGGCTGTGTGTGTGTGAGGAAGGCTGTGTGTGTGAGGGGACTGTGTGTGAAAGGCTATGTGTGTGTGAGAGGGAGGCTGTGTGTGTGAGAGGAAGGCTGTGTGTGTGTGAGGAAGGCTGTGTGTGTGTGAGAGGAAGGTTGTGTGTGTGTGAGGAAGGCTGTGTGTGAGGGGGCTGTGTGTGTGAAAGGCTATGTGTGTGTGAGAGTGAGGCTGTGTGTGAGGAAGGCTGTGTGTGTGAGGGGACTGTGTGTGTGAAAGGCTATGTGTGTGTGTGAGAGGGAGGCTGTGTGTGTGTGAGGAAGGCTGTGTGTGTGAGGAAGGCTGTGTGTGTATGAGAGGAAGGTTGTGTGTGTGTGAGGAAGGCTGTGTGTGAGGGGGCTGTGTGTGTGAAAGGCTATGTGTGTGTGAGAGTGAGGCTGTGTGTGTGTGAGGAAGGCTGTGTGTGTGAGGGGACTGTGTGTGTGAAAGGCTATGTGTGTGTGAGAGGGAGGCTGTGTGTGTGTGAGGAAGGCTGCGTGTGAGGAAGGCTGTGTGTGTGTGAGGAAGGCTGTGTGTGTGTGAGAGGAAGGTTGTGTGTGTGTGAGGAAGGATGTGTGTGAGGGGGCTGTGTGTGTGTGAAAGGCTATGTGTGTGTGAGAGTGAGGCTGTGTGTGTGAGGAAGGCTGTGTGTGTGAGGGGACTGTGTGTGTGAAAGGCTATGTGTGTGTGAGAGGGAGGCTGTGTGTGTGTGAGAAAGGCTGTGTGTGAGGGGACTGTGTGTGTGAAAGGCTATGTGTGTGTGAGAGGGAGGCTGTGTGTGTGTGAGGAAGGCTGTGTGTGTGAGGAAGGCTGTGTGTGAGAGGAAGGTTGTGTGTGTGTGAGGAAGTCTGTGTGTGAGGGGGCTGTGTGTGTGTGAAAGGCTATGTGTGTGTGAGAGTGAGGCTGTGTGTGTGTGAGGAAGGCTGTGTGTGTGAGGGGACTGTGTGTGTGAAAGGCTATGTGTGTGTGAGGGAGGCTGTGTGTGTGTGAGGAAGGCTGTGTGTGTGAGGAAGGCTGTGTGTGTGTGAGAGGAAGGCTGTGTGTGTGAGGAAGGCTGTGTGTGTGTGAGGGGGCTGTGTGTGTGTGGCTGTGTGTGTGAGGGAGTGTGTGTGTGTGTGTGTGTGTGTGTGTGTGTAGCATGTGTGGGGAATGCATGGAAACTATCCATACTTTCCACTCAATCTTGCTATAATCTAAACCGCCGTAAGGACAATGCCTGTTACCAATGCACGGGACGGTGTCTGTGTCCTCTGCAGTCAGCGCCAGGATGGGCCGAGTCAAAGAGAGTCAGTGGTTACTTTATCTCAATTGTCAAGTCATTAAAATATCTGCCAAAACTGACTTTAAAAGCACAAACAATATTATGCATTATATTCTGTGTATTCTAAATACATGTTTAAAAGAACGTTTTCAAGAATGCCTAATATATGTTGTTCTGAAAACATAACATTGTATGCAAGAAACCAAATATAAAGAATGAGGCAGGATCTCAAGGTCAGGAGATTGAGACCATCCTGGCCAACGTGGTGAAACCCCGTCTCTACTAAAAATACAAAAACTAGCTGGGCATGGTGGCACGTGCCTGTAATCCCAGCTACTTGGGAGGCTGAGGCAGGAGAATTGCCTGAACCCAGGAGGCGGAGGTTACAGTGAGCCGAGATTGCACCACTGCACTCCATCCTGGCGCCTGGCAACAGAACAAGACTCTGTCTCAAAAAAAAAAAAAAAAAAAAAGAACAAGGCAGTTACGCTTGAGAAATGATTTGCTCAGGACTTTCCTATCAATACGGGAGTTGTCTTTGGCCGTTTTTCTTTATGAAAGCCGAGCGATTTCCTGAGTCTCCCTGGGCCAGTGGCTCTCAGTGCATGTTGGGAAGCGTTGGCTGCCCACAGATGTGCTTCTCTTGTATTTGGTACCAAATCACCAAGCCTTGTGTGCAGACACGGGAGTGGCCAGTTGGGGCCAGGACCTGCAGGCTCTGCCATGACCTGAGCTGGCCACGCACGTCCACCCCGGGGTGCATTTTCCAGCGTGCACAAGAGTCCGGGAGAGCTGTGGGTGGCCGGGCACCGTCACTGCTCTGGGGCCGGCCAAGAGCACCTTCCTTTTGAGGGTTGGGGGGCAGCTCCGGGCACTGCTGCGGAGTGGAGCCCTGGACTTCTGAGCCTGTGCCAGCTTCGGGGATCAGAAGACCCTGCCGGCCCTGGCCTAGGATTAGGACGAATGGTTACCTTATTTCAACTGGCAAGTGACTTGGGGTCCGGGAACATGGCTTCTGGTTCTTCCCACTCCCTGCTCTGTGGCCCTGAAGCCTAGCAGAGTTCTCCGTTGTGAGCACAGGGGTTGGGCCATCTCAACGAGCCATCCAGTTCCTGCTTGTGGCCTTTCCATTTCCAAGACATTTTCATTGGAAAAGTAGAGTACGAACATTAGGTATATTTTAAGTCATTCCGTATTTCTCCCTCCTCCTCCCGCTTCCCACCCCTACTTGCACAGAATGGTTTGTATCTGAGGAAGGCAAAGGAGTGGGCACATCTGCCTGTGTTCCCGCTGTGCGGCCCGTCCGTCACGGACGGTGGGTGGAGCCGGCCTCTGCAGGCGTCCCTGAGCGCACTGTGCCTTTGTGTGGCCTCGCAGGGATCTGGGTCCAGCTCACACAGGGGGCAGCGCGGCTGGGCTGCACGGAGGGAAATGGCGCAGACCTGGTGTCTCCCCCTCGCCATTGTCCGCCTGCCGCCTGCGCAGCTGCCAGGCTGCCTCCTGTATGCTCTGGGCTTTGCAGAGTCCCACAGAAACCTGCAAGATGCTTGCAATACTCAAGGTTATTTTCTGCTAATCACCCGGCCTGCCGCCTGAGCATATATGTAATATCAGACCAGCAATTACTGTGTCAGCCTGGCTCTCGGCAGTGTGTTTCTGCTAATTACACTTGTTGCATTTGAATGGCTTTCTTCAGCCAAGCTGCCAGGGGAAACCATAGTGAATAATACAGGAGACCATTTCCCTTTCCACCCGGCCTGAAGCTGCAGATGGCCGCCCTGTGTGGAAGCTGTAGTGCCTGAATTCATCTTTTGTGTGCACCAAAGAAGGTAATTTGAATGTTTGAAACCCCCACGGGAAGCTTGTCTCAAAGTGAACAATCGCCAAATAAGGACTAATTAGGGTCTAAATTAATTAGAAGTTGTGGTAGGAAAGGATGTTGGTGAGCGGAGTCTGCCGTTTCAGACCAAAGGAATAGAGCGAAAGAAATTAGTCCCCATTAGTACCACAGAGTTCGCCAGCCTCGGCCAGAAAGCAGCAGCCGTGGAGGCCGCCCTGGCCTCCCATGCAGCCTGGGGGAGACGTCGCCACGATCCTTGTAGCTCCCACAAATTAGTATTTATATTTCCCGGGTGTTGTGTTTTTGTCTGGAAAACTGGCCCAGAATGTTATTGACTTTACTTTTTCCATTGTCACTGAGTTGTCAGAAGCAAGTTTTTAAAAAAAAAAAACGTGAAATTATGTAAAAGGAGGGCCTGGGGGTCATGGAGGACAGTGGAATGGAAACATTCCAGCCACACCGGACTCCTGCGCCCTTTCTCTCCAACTTGGTGTTTGTGTTTTCCACGAAGCTCGGTTTTGATTGAACAAACCAGCACCTTCCGGGTGCTTCCAGGCCCTGGCAGCCCTCTGGTGAGCCGGACTCCAAAGCCTCACCGTGGCATACGACCCGAACACACTGCAAGGACGTGTGTGACACCTTCCTGCTGTCTGAAAATGAAACGTCTCGTTCTGTCTTCTCTGCTTCCTTCTCACAGATGGAGTGTTTGGAAGGTGCCAGAAGGTTCCGGCAATGGACTTTTACCGCTACGAAGTGTCGCCTGTGGCCCTGCATCGCCTGCGAGTCGCCTTGCAGAAGCTCTCCAGCACAGGTAGGGCGGGCGTGGGCTGAGGCGTGGTTGCCACCTTGAGCACTCACATGGGTTTTGCTTCTCCTCCTGGGTGGCGAGGAGCTGGAAATGGACTGAATCTGCGGTGTGGTGATGGGAGGGGCGGCTCGGAGCCTCGCGCTGGGCACACGGATGGTTCCTGCAGGGGGCGTCTGTTCCCAGGTTCAGAGGAGCCCAGGTCTGCTGCCACCTGTGTCCCCAGGAGGAGATGCAGGAAGGCTGCAGTGGCCCGTAGCTGGGCCTGGCGCAAGGTGGGAGGGCACCGGCTGCGTACGTGGGCCTGTCTGGGTCCCGTGCATGTGCATTTCAGCCTGGAGAGAATTAGCCTCTGCCTGTCTCCATTGTTGTGTAGCCCCTTCCAAGAGTGAAGCTGCCTGTGTAACCATCTGCCCCTGGTGGCTAGCTGATCACCTAGGGGAGTGGTATCATGCTGGGGACTCAGGGTTGGTCTTTGTGGTGGCTGACTGGGAACTCAGGGGTGGCCACAGCAGGGCTGGCGTGGTGAGTGGAGCCCAGGTGCCACCTCCATCCCTGTTACCATGGCCACATTGTTCATGGGTCCACTGGGAGCTGGGGAAAGAGGCTGACTGGTGTCCACAGAAAGGGTTGCTCTATCCACTTGGTTATTAAATCCTCCTCTGCTGGGCCAGGTGCAGTGGCTCACGCCTATAATCCCAACTCTTTGGGAGGTGGAGGCAGGCGGATCATGAGGTCCAGAGATCGAGACCATCCTGGCCAACACAGTGAAACCTTGTCTCTACTAAAAATACAGAATTATCCAGGTGTGGTACTGTGTGCCTGTGGTCATAGCTACTCAGGAGGCTGAGGCAGGAGAATCGCTTGAACCCAGGAGGCAGAGGTTACAGTGAGCTGAGATGACACCACTGCACTCCAGCCTGGTGACAGGGCGAGACTCTATCTCAAAAAAAAAAAAAAAATCTCTGCTGAGGTCACTCTTTGGTGGACATTCTCATGGGACATTTATATCTTAGCACTTTCTTCCACTTCATAGAGGTCTATCTAAGATGTCTCTTCCCAGATGCCCTTGTCAACAGTGTTTCCAATCATATTCTGTCCGAGTTCTGGCCATCCGGCCAAACCATTGGCCACAGCCCATTAATTGGTAAATAATCACACATCTGGTCACTTCTTCCAGGAAAAATGACCAGCCAGGTGCACTGCTTCATGCTCTGCTCACTAGGAGGGTTTCTTTTCACCTCTTTCCTTCAGGGGGTCCCAGCAGGGGCGGTGTGTAGTGCTGCACGGTCTGATTTTGGGTGGTGCCTGGACATTCGTTACACAGAACATCCCGAAAACAAAGCCCAAGTCACCTGAACCCCACGGTCCATGGGAAACTCTCCACAAAGCCAAGCTGCAGGTTGAGAGAGAGGAGCATGTGTGGCGGTGTGGGCCAGAGCGTGGGGCCACTTCCTGACACACACCACGGGGGCCTCCACGTGGGAGGCCACTTCCTGACACACACCACGGGGGCCTCTACGTGTGGGGCCACTTCCTGACACACACCATGGGGGCCTCCATGTGGGAGGCCACTTCCTGACACACATCACAGGGGCTTCTACGTGTGGGGCCACTTCCTGACGCACACCACGGGGGCCTCCAGGGCAGCTTGGGCCCAGCTCCTTCTCCGGACGGCCACTGTCATTTGGCAGTGGGGTACCATGCACAACCCAGCGCAAGGCTGGCAGGTCAGGTAGATACAGGTGTCAGCGTAGATGGCACAGATGTAACGCTGCCAGTGCAGGGACATCTGTGCAGTCAGTCATACTGAGGGAAGGTTGTGCGAATGTTCTCCTGTTACATTTTCTGAGTTTGCTTGGCTTGCTAGTCTGACTCTGTTTTTCACCTTTCACTTTATTATCTCTTGAGAAGAGGGAAAAAAGCCACTTTCTTATCCACCTTCTTATTTAAAAAGCACACAGATGGGCCGGCGTTTGCCAAGGTGGTGGCTGGATGTGCTAATGGAGGCCAGAGTCTTTCAGTGAGATGGGCATGGTGCTTCCAGAATCCCCCCGAGCCCAAGTGCGCCCCGGCTCTAGGAATGTATGAAGCTATCCCTGTGCTGGCGCCTGCTGGGCTCACCTTCTTCCCACCCTCCGCCTCCACTCCTTGGGATTAGGGAGGAAGAGAGGACCAGACAGGAAAAGCTACATTCAGAGTTTTAAACAGAGATTTTAACTTTGGAATCTGCTCATCGGGAGCCTCTTTTCAGGTCCAACCTTCCCTCCACACCATTTCTGGCTTTACCTTCCTCATGCTGAGCTCCAGTCAGGGCTTCATCCGATGACCCTGAGCCTAAAGCAGACTCTGACTCAGGAAAGGGCTGCATCCTAAGAGTGGCCAGTGCCTTCCCCCATGACTCTGCTCAGCCCCATCTCCCTGGGAGGGCTCTGGGAATCCCTCACTGCCTTGATACTCGCTGTGAGCCTGAGATAACCTTTCACTATGTCCACATTTCTGGTACCTGTTCTTGAGGATAAGAACATCTTCATGGAGACGGAGTCCAAGGCAGCCCTCTATGGAGAATGGGGGTCCCGAGCAGCCCTGTGTGGGGCTGAGGGGGTCCCAGGTAGACCCATATGGGAACAGCAGTCCCAGGTAGCCCTGTGTGGAGATGGGGGTAGCAGGCAGCTCTGTGTGGGGAAGGGGGGGTGTCCCAGGCAGCCCCATGTAGAGACGGGGCTCCCAGGCATCCCTGCATCTTCAGTCTTGCTCAGGCTCTGGCTGATCATCTTCCCAGTTATGTCAGAACTGCCCATGGCCTGGAAGGCTGGAGCCTCCTGCCCAGCTCCATCCCCAGGGGCTGCGTCCTGGGCTGTCGGACTCTCTAGACAGTGAAAAGTCATCTTCTGCATTGTGGAGACAATTGCAGACACATTCCCAGCTGGTTCTGACACAACTGTGGAGTGTGTCCTGGGCTGGGTGTTTCCAGCAAACCCCAGGGATTATCTGTGGCAGGAGGCCCCTTCGGTTGCTGGGGCCATTGGTGTGTCTCAGCCCTGCTCCTGCACCCAGTCTGGGATGCAGGCTTTTGAAAGGTGAATGTGCTGTGAAGGCATACATACCTGCAAACATGTTCACAGGCTCATGTGTAGATGCCCACACATGTGCACACACACCTGCACGCTAACACACATGATCATGTGTAGATGCCCACACACCTGCACCCACACTCACATGCTCATTTGTAGACACCCACACATGCACAAACTTGCACATACACCTGCACACACACATGCTCACATGTAGGCACCCACACACCTGCACATACTCACATGCCCACATGTAGACACCCACACACCTGCACACACATGCTCACATGTAGATATCCACACATGTGCATACCCACCTGCACACTTGCACACACATTCACATGCTCACATGTAGACACCCACACACCTGCACATATCTGCACACACACATACTTGTGTGTAGACACCCACACACCTGCATACACACTCACATGCTCATGTGTAGACAGCCACGCACATACACACATCTGCACACACACCTGCACATGCACACACATGCTTATGTGTAGATACCCACACACATGCACATGCATCTGCACACACACCTGCACACATATATGCTCAGATGTAGACACCCACACACCACACACTCACGTGCTCATGTGTAGACACCCACACACCTGCACACAATTGCACACACACATGTCCACATGTAGATACCCACATATCTGTACACACATATGCCCACATGTAGATACCCATATATATGCACACACCTGCACATGCATTCATGTGACATTTGGCCCCCCACATGCATGTACACCTGCATACACATTCACATGCTCACATGTAAACACATACATATGCACACACCTGCACACATATGCTCACATGTAGACACACATACACACACGTGCACATGCATTCATATGCTCATGTGTAGACACTCCCCCACATACCTGCACTCATTCACATGCTCTCATGTAGACATATATGCACAAACACCTGTACATGCATTCACATACATGTAGACACACCCCACACACCTGCATATGTATTCACATGCTAACGTGTAGACATCCACACACCTGCACACACACCTGCACATATACTCACATGCTTATGTGTAGACACCCACACACATATGCACATACCTGCACATGCACTCATGTGCTCATATGTAGACACCCATGTGCACACACCTGCACATGCACTCACATGCTCACATGGAGACACATGCAAACATAGCTGCACATACTCATATGCTTATGTGTAGACATACCTGCACACATATGCTCATGTGTAGACACAGATGCACACACTTGCACATGCATTCACATGCTCACATCTAGACATACCTGCACACACACCTGCACACACATTCACCTGCTCATGTGTAGACACACTCACACCTGCATATGCACTCATGTGCTCACATGTAGACAGACACATGCACACACACCTGCACATTCATTCACATGCTCAAGTGGCAGACACACACATGCACACACACCTGCATACTCACATGCTCACGTGTAGACACACCCACTCATGCTCACATGTAGATACAATGCACACATACCTGTACACACATGCTCACATGTAGACACCCCACACACATGCAGACACGTGCTCAAATATAGATGCCCCACATATGCACACATACCTGCACATACACTCATGTGCTCAGGTATGGACACCCGTACCTGGACACACCTGCACACACACTCATATGTAGACATACACATGCGTACATACCTGCACATCACTCATGTGCTCACATGCAGATGCCAGCACACCTAGAGACACCTGCATGTGCACTCATATGCTCACGTGTAGACACACCACACACCTGCACACTCAAGTACTCACATATAGACACATGCACACACTCACACACTCACATGTAGACACCCACACACATGCTACTCACCTGCACATGCACTGATGTGCCCACATGTAGAAACACACATGCACACACACCTGCACACA